TAAGGACCTAAGCTAAGACTTTTGTATGGAGAAAAACTTTATTTTTGGTCTATGTGTGATTATAGAAGATGGGTCTCCCGCCAAGATAGTATGAAATGGGCTTCTTGAGCGGCGGACGGACCGTTAAGAATACAATTGATTTACACTATCATCATTTATACATACTACTTCGTAAGTCAAATACATTGTAATACAGTAACGATTACATTTATACGCGATAACTTCCCGCCTTACGGACACGAACCATTGCATGCGTGTGCAATAGCACGGTAGCCTTCATTTGGTATGATACCGTCGCCAAAAAGGCATATAAAAGTAATAGTGCGTTTGACACAGATGACTCGAAATTCATATGTATTTTGAGCACCAATACCGTGCTTATGTTACTTTGGTAACATTCCACCTATTGTACACGTACAGTAGCTCACAACTGCCAGTTGATTCAAATCATCATCATCATCAAGATCCTTTAACTCTTGATAAAAAGAAACGTTTCAACATGGGAAGTAATGTCAGCAAACCGCAACCAGCAAATCCCGAGGATAGCGTCTTCTCTCTTTCAAATGTTCTTCAAGGTATGTAGTCGGTGATTTGTGTGTTTTCTGCAATTCTGACTTTTGGATATTTTCCATCAGAACAAATGATAAAGGAATACAATGATGAACAAGTTGTAAAACTTTTCGGCAAGCAGATTGAAAGATTGGGAGAACAGAAAGCGACTTTGGTGAAAGGTACAAATGATGATGTATTCTTGTTGTTGGTTGTTGGATATGTCTTACTTTCACGATGACTTTGTTTTATCTCAAGAGACGGTGGAGCAGAGGGGAATCCTGAAACAGCACATGAATGCATTCAGGGAACAGAATGAAGAGATCCAAAAGAAATTAGACCAAGATGCAGAACAATTCGAAGACCGCTTCTCTGACATAGCAAATGTTGTCGACTACGATTCAGAAAGACTCGAAAAGAAGTTTCTTACAAAAGGCGACCTCAAACATTCGCTATCAACGACTCCATGTTCCACTGAGCGTGCAAACGTTGCTATGTGTTTGCAGCACCGAAACACGTCGGCTTGCAATGAATTCATAGAGCTGTTTTCGACATGCTCAAACAAATCCATTGCTCACGAGTAGAAAGAACAATGGGACTCGCAATGCATAACAACTAAGAGAATCCAGCAAACCCGCTTTGTTACAATTGAAAGCTTTCTAATTTGGTCGGTTCGATTGCAAGCCCAACGCCATCCAGCAATCTTGTTTCAATCAAGAACTGCGGAGTGGCATGGTCGAAAACGACGTGCCGTGCAGCCATATCAGTTTCGATCGTCCGCATTTGGTGCGATCAATTTTCTCGACTTTTCTTCGTCTTCTCTGCGTCTTTTGCGCTTTTCATTTCGTTCGCGTCCCTCTCGCTTCCTTGCATCTTCTTTTCTGCCATGGCGATCGAGGTGCTTTTCCTTGTGGGACTCTCGGCGCTTGTCTTTATCCAGTCGCTTCTTGTTTGGCATTCCATTTTTAGTACTTGCATTTGCACTTGATGAGCTTGCCGGATCTGAAGAAATCTTGAGGCCCTCGCAAGCTACTTTTGCAACAATTCGTCGATATGTTTCATCGAATGCTTCTTGTGCCTCCTTTTCACTACAACCACCCTCCAGTGCTGTTTGTCGCGATCTTTCTCCCAAAGCTTTCGCTTCTTTTCTCATTTTCTTGGTTTGACGCTCATGGAAATGACCTTCGAGGGTTCCTAAATCCTCTGGTCGAACCGGGGCTTTCGGCTCTGCAAGGAAGTATCGACTGTGCAGTGCTCGATTGGCCGTTAACCTTTTCTTTGGGTCTAATTCCAACAGCTTTTCTATCAAATTCAAGGCCGGCGCCGGCATTTTGTTCTGATACTTGTGACGTAATTTTGGCGTTTTGCTCGATTCGATCGAGACCTCTCCGGTTCTAAATAGCTTCAAATCCTCAAATCCACTCCAACTTTCAGATGTTGGAGTTCCAATCATCTCGAAGATAAGTTTCAACTGATCCATTTCTGTCTTGCCAGTAAACAGAGGCTTCCCTAGTATCAGTTCGGCCAGTATGCATCCTGCACTCCAAATATCAACAGAAGTTCCATACTTAGTTTCACCCAGCAATAGCTCTGGTGGGCGGTACCACAGTGTGATGACTTTGTTGGTAAACTCCTGCGAATTGCCTCTGCTGTTGTTTGTGGTGTTATAGCAATTATTCCAAGAAAGGCAACAGTAAGTTTCCGAGGCGAAGCCATTGACATTGAGAAAGGGTGCGCAGCTTTACGTACTCGTGGATCTTATCTAGAATTGCAGGCTCCAGACACCGTGCCAGCCCAAAGTCGGCAAGCTTGACTCTAAAGTTATGGTCGATAAGGATATTCGACGATTTAATGTCACGATGAACGTACTTATGATCATGCATGTAGTGAAGAGCTTCAAGAAGTTGGCGAAATATGCTTTTCACTTGCACCTCGGAGAATCGATAGGCCACATCCATCAGACCAGTCAGATCATGAGACACATATTCCAATACTAAGAAAAGATTCCCCTTGAAACCTTCTCTTGCATCTACAACTCGATCTTTTTTACTACTCTTATGCTTTTCCGATACTTCATCTTCTTCATCAAGGTGTTCCACGCCTTTGGAACTTACCACCTCCAACATTTGAACCAAATTTGGGTGGTGAAGTCTCTTCAAAATTTTAATTTCTCTGATCACGGTAGGAGGCATCCCCCAATAACCCCCATGATGAACACGTATTTTTTTAAGAGCCACAATCTCGTTTGTATCCCTGCACCGAGCCTTGTAAACTTGTCCGTATGTCCCTTCTCCGATCTGTTCAATACGTTCATAGTGCGCAATTGTTCTGGTCATTTTTGCCCAATCTCTTTGCCTGGCGTTCAAATCGAGTGGCTTTGAAGCCGAGATACGAATTGTCTTTGACAGCATTATTTGAGATATATCTCCTTGGTATCCAGAGTGCAAACTGTTGTTACCATCTCAATTTATATTTAAAGTACAATTTTGAAATTGGTAATGAGAAATTGGAAAACAAAAATTGCTGCGATACTCGTAGTTTCTCTCGTGTCTGTACATGGTCGGATTTTGACTTCGTTCTGATACCGGTAGGTCGTGGTACAGTACCAGGTACGGTCACCACATTACCTATACAGTATCTCAGGAAAGGTACAGCACTTCCAGTCAGTACAGCATTGCAAAACTTGCATATTGTAGCCAAACGGGCAAAGAAGTGGTTGTTATATCACACTCATCATGATGAACGCTTCGAGCAACGATGACGGTTTCGGAGAAAACCCATTCCGAACGTCAACCAACGATTTCTACGACATAAATCCTTCGCCAGTAGTCCAACCCCAGTTGCATCAAAGCCCACAACAGCAGTTTCTGCAGCAAGGAACCGCCTTCATGCAGGCCGCCGAGCCACAATCGAGTTTCCCTCCTACGTCCGGGCTGACAGGTGTCATGAAACCGCAACAGGAACAGATATCATCGATGGAGCCTCAAGTTTCACGCGGATGTTGGGGGACAATTATGATGCTGATTGATTTGAATACGTACAAAGCCTATTTCGATGTGGATGCGGAAGATATTGTTGCAAGAATCAGAGCCGTGTGTTTGGACTTCTACAAGCCAGAACACTTTCGAAATAACGTCTTGGGTGCTCGGCAAACGAATGGTTTGAAAGGTCCAGATCTTTATGGTCCATTTTGGGTTACGATGACCCTTATTTTCTTGGTTGGGGTAAGTCCGACAGCTTCAGGTTTGCCTGCGCCATTATATGCAATCAAGCGGTGTCTATCCGCTTTACTTTTGTTCGCTTTTCTGCCATTTTACTTGTCCTTGGAGCCAGACGAGTTCTCATCGGTTGACTCCCCCCTTCCCCTAGGTAACATCAAATATGCACGCATACCTTCATCGCAGTGACGTTGAGGTGTTTGAATATGATATCAATCATTTAATGCATGCGGCTTCGGTTTTCTCTGCATTTTCTTTTTTGTTGCCAGCAGTTTTCTGGGTGACTTGCAAATGTATGAACATGGAAGCTTTGTCCTTGGTCGAGTGGGAGTGTCTATTTGGTTACTCTTTGGTTCCTTTTGTTCCCGCAGTAATGTTGTGTGTCATTCCCTTCACGATTTTCTCATGGATCTTTCCATTAGGAGCAACAATCGTGTCTTGCTCATTGGTTGTTCGCAATGTTTCAGCTCCAATGCTTTCTACTGATGCTGGGAGAGCGAAAGCACCACCTTTGATCCTTGCGATCCTTGCATCTTACCTTATTTTTTTCTTTGTGATCAAATTTACTTTCTACACCCATCGCAAGTAAATTGGAATCGGTCTGAACTTGAGTTTTATTTAGACCACTATTGTCGAGTCTCGTTTTTCATTAGTTTTAGAGCTATTGTCCAGTTAGTACTAAGGTGGCAAATCTCTCTTGCAGTCAAGCGTTCAGGCCTACATGAGAGATACGGTGTGTCATTGCGTGCTTGTTGCGTTGACATCTGCTTGTACTGTAGAAGGGGATTTAGGGGCCAGCAGGTTGATGAATTTAAAATGTCCTCCACCTCCGCCGCTTCTTTTCTGATCTTCGCATGTTCTCGTCAAGCTTTGCAGAATAGAGAATCTTGTTTTGAGTCATCTCTGTTTCT